CTCCATGTAGGCCCAGGTGGTGAGAATAAACTGGAAGAGACAAAAAAACAAAACAAAACAAAAAAACCTGTGGCTATAGCTCTATGAATAACCACTCTACCAGAGTTTATACTACAATCTCCATATAACCAGTGGGCAAAACTTTGACTTCCCAGACAGAGGAAGCCAGGTGTATTTTCCTGAGTCAGCTCTTTCTGTTTGAAGGGCGACCTTTTGAGGAAGCTTTAGGGATTAAAAGGACTTTCATGGTTGCTGTAGAAAGTAGTCAGTATACATTTCGAAGGGAAGTGGATGCTGAGACTTGAGTTATAGCTAATATGTCTGACCAGTTATTGTTTTATGTAATTTTAATGTTGCAGTTCTTTGATTTTTGGGGTCAAAATAAAGAAATGTAAATTAAAGTATAAAAGTTACTGCATGTATAAATTGCATGCATAAGCTGATGAACTTTATAAACTCTTTATAATATGCTATTTTGGATGTATAGTACAGTATATTGTACTTTGTAGTATTTATTGTGATAGTAATATGTAGTGATTTATTTTTTATCTTTAGTTTGTGAGAATCAAACCTAGGGCTTTGTGTTCTACTGTCAAGCTCTGGCCCCAGCTGTGTAGAATTATGTAGAATATATTGTAACACTAATACATTGTTATGAAATATATGGTATATAGGAATTAAATGTATTATATCATTTAATGTAATGTCATTTATATAATATATATCACTTAAAATAGCTCTGAGCTTCAGAAATGAAGGTCATTTCTTAAGAGGAAATGGGGTGCTTTTATCGTATGCGGGGAGATTGATGGGGGGTAATACTGTTGAAAGAGCACGTGACTGGAGCAGCTGCTACTTACTGGTCTCAGTGTTCCCTGTAACTGGGCATTACTCAGGGTCATCTGGGAATGAAGAGGATTGGAGTCAGTGCTAACAAAACCTCTTCAACTTTGTAGATAAATTTCAAGTTTGCCCAGCAGCTGGTGTTGGGAAACATGAAGCCAGACGGGACCCTGGCCTGTCTTCCAGTACATGGGAAGTGCAGGCGGAAGGATCAGTTCTAGATTCTGAGCTACATGGGGAGTTTGGGGCTAACCTGGGCTTAGACTCTTTAAAAAAATAAAAGCAAAGAAAACAAGCAGATGAACAGTGTAATAAAGCAACTGTAGCTAGGGTTGCTGGGGATGTAGCTCAGAGTAGGCAGGGCTGGAGGCCCAGGGCTCAACCCCTAGAATCACAAAGCAAAAATAAAGCAACAAGAAAGAAAAGATGAGTCTGTGCCTGGTGTCTCAGCATACAAACCTCTTGCTACACTTTAGTTTGACTGGTCCTAAGAAAGGAGTCATGCTCTTTTCTCTAAAGAGCACAGTTCTTGAGCTGTTTTTCCTTTCCTGTCTCACTTCCACTTTAATTTGGGCCCTGAGACAGAAGTAGCTGCTAAGAAGACAGTTCACACAAGTATTCGAGGGACTCAGTTTATGCTTAGTGTATGGCGTATTTGTTGACGAATGACTCAGGGATATATGGGAGCTCAGTACCATGGGAAGGCAGAGTTTGTAGCAGATGGAGTGGGCGTGCGGAACCACAGCTGTGTAGACTGTTGGAATAGAATGCAGAGTTAGTTTGATGTGTGATTGCTTTGGATATTGACTTCATCTTAAGGGGTCTGGAGGGAAGGCACCGGTGGCAGAGATAACAAAACAGCTACCTACGGTGGGGGACCAGTGGGTGTGAAGTATAAAGGGAGGAACCAGAAATTGAGGTTGGAGAATTAGCTATCACCAAGTGAGAAGTGAGATGAGGGAAGAAATAACAATTCAGTTGGTGTTTTGGGGTTAGGGCTAAGAAAATAAGTTGAGGTAAATGTTAAAAACAGCCCTTTTTCTGACTTGGGATTCTGAATGGAGGTGTAACAGGCATTAACTAGGTAAAAGGAAATTGGGAGGAAGACAGTTGGACAGGCTCAAGTTCAATTTTCGACACGTTGGGTATGAGGTATTTCTGTCTGTCTGAGGCAGCTGTTTAATAAGAAGTTAAGTGTGTTTAGTCCTGGTTTTCAGGGTTTAGAAGTCATGAATTCATCAACAGCAGTTCAGGAAGGTGTGGCTGGGTGTGGCGGCAGATGTCTGTCAGCCCTGCACTAGGGAGACTGAGGCGGGAAAATCTAAGAGATTGGCTGAGAATACCAAGAGCACATGGAATGATAGCAAGTTAAGGCCAAGAACAGGGTGGGAGTCCTGTGCCCCTGAGGCCAGGCAGCAGGGGAAGCCTGGGAGAACATGAGGCTTGGCTAGATAGAGCTCTCCGAAGAGTAGTGTAGTGAGACATCAGAAAGGCACTAGATTCCTGATGGGGCCGGGGGTGGGGAGTGTTAGGTGCTGGGGTGATGGTGCTGGTGCTACAAGGAAGCCATATAAATAAGGTGTGTTACAAATATATACGAGTTTATATGACAGCGAGTGTAAAGATTACCACTGGTGCCTTTTACCAGAATGCTTCTGTAGTTAGACTGGGAGTAAAGGCAGATGGACAGAGCTGAGGAGGTGGAAGTTAGGAGGGCCTGAGCATCGAGGGCGTCTCTCTGTTACTGCAGTCAGAAGCCCCAGGGTCCTCATTGACCTCTGTTTTACTTCCTTGTCTTAGCAGATGCTGAGTGTGGTACCTAAGAGGGATATTTGAGGTTGACCTTGATTGAGACTTGGACTTGAGTTGGAACCCCAGCTTCACTGCTGTGAGACTGTGATCTGGGACCTGGTATTTGTCTGGCACTCTTTATTTCCTCACTTATATAATAGAGGTAATATAAGTATTCACCATGCAGGCTTATTGAGGATTGGATGAGTACAGCCCTTGGGTAGAGATGAAATGAAACAAGCACTAAGCCCATGTTGGCAACTTTGAGTCCTAAATGCCTTGTAGACATGTATTACTTTTGATACACACCAGACTGGCCTTGAACTCTTGTTCCTCCTTTTTCTGCCTCCATGGTGCTGGGATTACAGACTTGTGCTACCATTCAAGGCTCTAAATATCTTTTGAATGCATTAACTATTGTATTAACAAAATAGCACCCCTCCCCACAACTTGGTTGTGGAATAATTTACATGCCTCCATAGGTACTTGCATTAACTAGACAGTTCAGTAGCTTTTAAAATGACCGTTATGTTATACAGTGACCTTTTAAGGACATTTTCATAATCTGCATAAGGCTTGAATCCTTACTCCCAACTCTGCCCTAGGTAACTTGGTTTATTGATGCTCTGTTTACAGAATTGCCCTTTCTGGATGTTTCAGATGAATAGACTAAACACGGCCAAATGTGGTGACCTACTGCTGTAATCCCAGCACTTGGGAGGTGGATGCAGGAGGTTTGAGGCTAATCTGGGCTGCACAGTGAGACACCTATCTCAGAACAAAAAAGTAATCCTGTAGTATGCATTTTTGGTGTTGGGTCATTTCCATTTCCATTTGTGGTTTTTGGGTTTGTACATGTTGTAGCTTTTATGGAACGTCACTCCTCCTTATTACTGACGTGTATCCCGTTCTGTGGATATATAATGCTTTGTTTGTCTGTGCACCAGTAAATAGCCACTTGTTTGTTTCCACTCTTGCTATTATGAATAATGCCTCTGTGCACATTCTGTGCGAGGCTTTGTGTGGACATATGCTTAATAGCTTCTCTAGTGGTCCTTTAGTCTCCTCCAGGGTCCTCCTTCTGTCTTTCTCCTCTTCAGTCTGTTGTCTACACTGTAGCCAGAGTGATCGCTCTGCAATGTGAATCTGATTATGTTATTACCCTGCTAAAATACTCAGTGCCTCTTGCCCCCTGAAACTTAGTTTGCTAAGCTCCAACTGTGTTTACGAAAAGTTTTAAAATCTGAAATATCCACCTTTTTCTGTATATCCTCTTTCAATATACTCATTCATTCACTTATAGTGGTCATTGGCTGTTTAACCATTGTTTTTTTTTTTTTTTCAGGGTTATTGACTGGGGACATCAAAACCTTTGCTCTTTTGCCATCTTTGTTTGTAGTGGGAAAGGCAGAGAGGAAGCAAGAAGTGTCAGATACTGATAAGTACTATTAAGAAAAGACAAACAGGACAAGGCAGTAGTGACCTTGGGCTGGCGACTCAACTCTGCAGGCTGGAGTGGTCCCCAGAGCCTTTGGCCCATTGCCAGCAACCTACTTGATTTCTCCACTTGGAGGTCTGGTGTTGGTAACCCCATTCCTCATCCACACTCATGTGGTTTCTTTGCTTTGTCACTTTCTCTTCCTGAGTTCTGTTCATCTTCCCCCATGGGTCTTTTCTCCCTGGGCCCCATCCCTACAGCCTTTCCGGATGCACTGGCCACTATGTTTCTGTAGACTACCATTAGAGGCTGGCAGTGGAGTCAGGTAGCTCCCTTCATGGCATACTTAAATGACTTGTCTCATTGTTCCACGTCTCTTAGCAGCTTGATGGCTATGAATCCTCTAAGTCTAGCCTATTCTTGGCACAGAGTCTTGCCTAATCAAAGCTGTTGAAAGCAATTGTGTGTTCTTAGCCTTGAACAAGAGAGAGGAAGATAGGAAAGAATGGAGGTGAGAGAGAGAGGGAAGGAAGGAGTGAGTTGAGGTCTGTTACACACACACACACACACACACACACACACACACACACACACATGTATTCACTAGCTATATACTGAGCAAATACTGAAGGAGTTTTGGTGGTTGACACTTTCTCCAGGATTATAACTTAGTGCATCACACAAATCAAGTAATGTTACTAGCAGTAAGTGCTTAGTGGTGCACTAGAAGAAATAAAGGAGTTACTGCTGTGAGTGTGGCTTGGAATTTTAATGCTGTTTTTGCTTGCGTAGTGTTACAGCTGTTTGTGCGAGTCTAATTGAGTAGGCCATTGGTTACAAAGAATGATGCAGATGTGGGATTGCTTGGACGTTACTGCATTGTCTTTTGTTTTTGTCTCATCACTTCATTCTGATGTTCCTTTTGCAGCTTTCAGAAAATGTGATTGACCGGATGAAGGAGTCTTCTTCGTCTGGCTCTAAGTCTCAGCGGTATTCCAGTGTTTATGGTGCTTCAGGTATGGTGGCATTCTTATTTTAGGAGTTCTCCTTTTAAGAAACCCTAAGTAGGGAAAGTGACTCAGTAGTCAAGCTCAATTGCTCTTTGTCTTCTGGTGTTGGGATGTTCAGTTTTATAGGGTTAGAAATCAGTATCTAGAGTGCCTTTTAAGATACTTGGCTCTGCTCTTAAATGCACCTGTGAACTTTTGTTTTTCTCATCCAATCCTCTAAGCTTCAGAATGCTATTTCACACCTTTTGTGTTCAATGGTTTGATAGTAGGAATATTGAAGATTAAGGAGGAAGTATTCAGTAAATACTTTTATATTTTTATTTTTTAAAGAAAACTCCTGGGGCGGGGAAGAGCACCTGAAATGAGAAAATACTGATTTATCGCTTCTAAATTATTAAATACCTCAAATGTTTTTATAGTAATTTTTCAAGCTTCTACAAAAGATGTAGTTTGTTATAGTGTGACCTAGTTATTGTGAACATACTCTTAATGGAATCCATAGAGAAATTGTAGGGGTCATCTGTAGGTGGGTCTTCTTGGATGAGAACGAGCTAAGGAGCTTTTCCTCTTCCCTGAGCTTCCTGTAGCTCTACCCATGTGTTCACCCAACAGTAGTTAGTAAGAACCTCCTGTATGTCCAGCACTTGTCTCTGTTCTCTTCTGGAGACAGCCCCGCTTATGTTTGCTAGGCAAGTGCTCTGCCGCTGGGTTGCGTCCCTAGTCCTTTCCTGCTCTGTCTTGATGATGCCCAAATGATGACTGGACATGTTGATTGTGAAGTGACAAGAAGAACAATATGGGCGTGATTACTTTTGGACCAAGAGATTTTGAAAGGGGCTCATTTGGCTGCAGGATGTAAAAGAGAGGAAGATGAGCTGTTGGGCACTTGGCCACTTTCTGGGGGGGCACTTGTGACCCTCAGGCTGATCATTATATTAGCAAATATAACTTGAGCTTCTGATAGCAAGCTTCATCAGGAGCAGTTTTTGTCTTCTCAAAGCTTCTTGTTTTTAGGAGGCATGTTGAGCAGTTCTCATGGTTGATTAACACAAATGAAAGGCAAGCACATAGCCAACTTAACACAGCCATAAACACCATTTATTCTTCCACAGACCTGCTGCTTTGCCCTATCTTTTCCAGGAAAGAGTAGATAATCAAACCCTCAAATGGAGCTGCATTTTTGTTTTCTGCTTTCCTTACTGTTTACATCCAGCCAGTGGCTGATCTTGTCAACGGTATGTCTAAAATGCACTTGAATGTATCCTTTCGGGCCCACCTCTATTGCTGCTGCCCAGTTAACTGCATCTCTTACTGTCCCTGCACAGACCCCTGCATCATGCTGGTTACATAGCGGCCTTGGTATTTTCATGAAAAACGTGGATCAGTCTCTGTTGTGGCTCAGGTGGTTTCTCCATGGGGTGGGTTTTGACGTGATTGGAACCATTTCCTGTGGTCTCTGAGATGCACCATGACAGCTTCTGTCTACCTTTTCAGTATTATTATTTCATCCTTTATCTCCCCCACCCGTGCTCTGCTTACCCACTGTGATACACTCATGGGCCTCTGTCTTTGTCCACTCTCGGGAAGTTCCCTGCTTCTCAGGATATGCTTAAAACTAACTTTTAAATTAGGAAAAATTCTGTTAAATATTTTGGAAGTAACTACTTCTGATCATTCTGGGATCCAATTTTATAAATTTAGGCAACATTTACTGAATGCCTACATTACAAATAATAACATTTTTTGAGTTGTTTCAAAGAGATTAGATTTTGTGCAGATATAACTTAAATCAAGAAGACTGGAGGCAGACAGTAAAAAGAAAAACCCTAGAAGATGTTGAAATGTTAAATATTTGGGTTTAGGAATAAACTCTGATTTATGAATATTTTAAAATATTGTTCTAAAATTGGATTGTTTCTACTTTGTTAAGGTAGACGATGAAATAAGAGATGATATTTTATATGGTAGGAGTTGTGCTAAACCCTTCATCTCTTACCTGACCCTATTCTTAAAACCCTCCATACAAGGAGCTGTTACTAATGCATGGAATGCAGAAGGAAGATGAAGCACAAAGTGATTAATTCTTTTGCCCAGAGTCACACAGCTGGTGAGCAACAGATCTGAGAGTTAAACTTACCCATGTGCCTCCAGAGTAAATGCCACTGTGTTTTATGACAGTGTGCATGACCTCCTGCTTCCTTTGTAGAATAGGAACTTGTAGGACGGAAGGAGTTGCCTTAGCTGTTCTGCTGGGCTTAGGAGAGAACCTTGTTTTCTGAGTGCTTGCTCTTCAAGCTCGTACTGTCTCACTCTGTAGTGAGCTGAAGAGTCATAGAGTTTTCCTTTTGGAGTTGGCTTTTTTCAAATTTATTTTTCTGTGTGCGTGCGTGTGTCATAGTGTACATGTGGAGGTCAGAGGACAACACTGTGGAATTGATTTCTTTCCTTCCACCTTCACTTGGAGTCTGGGGATTGAACTTAAGTTACCAGGCTTTCATGGCAAGTACCTTTACCTACTGAGCCATCTTGCTAGCCCTTGGGTTGCTTTCTTAAATGGACACTTTGGTAGTTAAGGGTAGACTGGCTGACTTCTGAGTGCCCATGGCATGTATGATCTGCAGAGTCAGGCATGGATGGTGTGAAAGCTTGGCTTTCTTGAGGAATCTGTCTGTTCCCATTCCAGGTTTGACATGACTACAAGCTTGGTTCCTGCCCAGCTGTGACCATCCTGGGCAGTGAAGACTTAGGATATCGCCTTGTGAGCTGGTGATCAGACTAGATTTGTTCTCACTAAAGAGTAGGTTCTCCTCACCTTTGACCATTAAGAATTACATAAACACTAATTAAAAGAAAATATAATAAAGTATTTCTCACTGGTCACATTCCATGATCACTAACTGCATTTGTCTGTCATGTGAGTGATGCAGGTGTCGGCTAATTCTAGCCTGCAGGACGCTGGGTTGTTTGGTTCTAGCCTGGGACTCAGCAGTGCCGGGTATTCATCAGGTGCGTTAATGATGTGACCGAGGCTTTGTGGCCAGATGGTTCTTTGTGCTGGTGACTTTTGACTCTAACTCTGTCCCTTCCACATCACTCATCCTAGGACTGTCAGTAATGGAAGCTTTGGGGACATTCTGTGGAGGTGTAATATCTTTACAACAGTCTTGGACACAGCTTCGAAGCAGTAGTAAGAAGATACTGGAGGTGTTGCCTCCTCATGCTTGGAGCAGTGGGATCACTTCTGACACCATGATAAGAAAGACCTAATAAGGCTATCATGTGGTTTCTCTTTCTTCAACCCAAGCCGAAAGGAGAGCTAACATTAGTATGGTATTTTGAAGTGATCTTGCCTTTATGTTAAGAAAACAATTAGACCATGATGATGTAAATTAGCAAACGTTAATTCTTAAAATTTAAACAACATGTTAAAAGTTCTAACCTCAAGATTCATGTTCTCTTCTAATTTTCCCTCATTGGATTTTAGTCAGCTCTTATGATTCATTATTCAGATGTGTTGTGAAGTAATTTTTCAAGTCTACCAAAGTGTATTGATGAAAATGTCACCAGCTTTTCTGCAGTTTTCAGTGTCAAGTAAATTATATATTAAATGTGAATTTTTAATATTTATTAAAATGCTTTCTTTCTCCTAGGATTTATTCATACCAGCCCTAGGCTATTCACATGTGTGAATGTAGAGCATTGTTCTTGATGGACTGAGAACCATAGGATTTATGAATATAAGAGCTAAGGTTTGTCATATGTATATGTATACACACAAACACACGTAATTTGGAGAATACAATTTATACTCTACAAATGTAAGGCTTTTTTTTCCTATAAAACTTTTCTGAAACTTTTGTTTCCCCTCTTTTTTGAGAAGCCTTGAACCAGATCAATGACTCGTTGCAGTAAGTATTTGCATATAAAGCTGTTTGGGCAAAATAATATATTGTGTGACACACAGCAGATTGCAACGCCACTTTAATAAATGAATGTGCTCTAAAGGACTTAACTGTGTCCTTTCTGCTTCGGCTTCTTTGCTCCATTATTGAAACTACGTTGACTTGCTTTTATACCAGCTAATTCTTTTCTTAGGTGGGCAGAGGGGATGCCGTCGTGACACTTACCTTCATTTTATTAACATCTTGCATCGTTTGATTGGCTATTGGCCTTTTCCCCCTTCATCTTGGTCCTTCAGTGTTGCTGGCCTGTGGTGAGGTCAGGCTGCTCCTGTTCCACCCTATCCACCCCTAAGAAACTGTCTCCAGATCAATATATGAGAATTCAGACAGGAAATGGTATCAGGAGGCAGTTTATTGGTTTCCTTAGCCCCTGGGAACCTGGTGAAAATGATAAATCCAGGAAAAAGTAAAAGACAAATGAGCTCATTCTTATTATTATCTTCACTGTGCAAGTTTCTCTGTAAATTTCTTGTCATTGTGAAAAATAGGAAAGATTTGCCGATTTGTGTTAAGCGTATTGCTGAGATCACTAAGTATTTGGCAGCCTTAACAAATTGCAGGAAACCAATTTGAGCAGGAAATAGCACAGCCCAAACTAAGCAGCCAATTTAGGGAAACAGATTCATCTATATGTTGTATGTATTTTTCTCCCAGAATCTGGCCCTTCTGGTTATTTTTAAACAGCTCTTTAAGGCTCATTTAGACACAGCCCTGTAGGGAGACTTCAAAGTCAACAAGTCCTGCTTATTCCTTTGACTGGTATTTTCACATCTGAGTGAAGAAGGTACAGTCTTAGAGCTCCTTCGGTCATGTAAAACTTTGTGGATGCCTGTACCGTAATCTGTATTTTTTGCATTACTGTAATGGATAATTTACGTGGAGGTTCCACAGCATTAACTCTAATCTCTAATGAGTACATCCTGCGGCCTAACCAGAAGTTAAGAGTTTCATCGTAGCCTCTGAGGTACTGGCAGTTACTGAGAAGTTCTATCTAATTTTAGGATACAAGATTAGAAAATTGCATTAGTTGCTTCTTCTTGTACA